ATGCTCCAAATCTTCTGAATATGAATGAATGACTGCGACAGACTTTTGGCATGAGTGAATCCGAGAGACTATGAGTATAAGTGAGACTGAATGTGAACAATTCTGAATAATATGTGTGGGAAGGAATCTGAGTATGGACGAATGCAAGAAGGAAGAGACGAGAATGGGAGGATGCCTGATTGAGGAGTCGGCGGCGTCAGTGTAATAATTACTTGGCGCGGAGATCCCCATATGTGCATCTCATAGTGATGGCAAACTTCGGTATAAGACATTGTCCTTTTCAATATCCGAGTGCCAGCGAATCCGCATGGAAAACGGACCGAGAGAGACGCCGACGAACGAACGACTACGACGACTTTGAATAGTTGTTTCTTCCTTCCGTCCTCCTCCTCCTCCTCCTCCTCCTTGTCCTCCTCCTCTTTCTCCTCTTTTCCTTATAACCACCTGTCAGAAAAATTCATCCGCGAAAACGAGACCGGGCCCGTGCAATACCCCGTGGCGCCCCCCCTTGGGAGTGCTGAGCGCCTAGCCTGAGACATCCTCGGAAACTACTCCGAAAGAGAAGGATGTTCAGCACCCAAACCGGCAAACCGCCTGAGACATCCCCACAAACTGGCCGCGAACGGGCCTGTGATATACCCCCTGGCGCCCTTGGGAGTACTGAAACCAGCACTTTGCCTGAGACATCCTCAGAAACTGCTCTAAAAGCGGAGGATGTCGGGCACCGAAACAGGCAAACCGCTCGAGATACCTCCGCAATTTTGGCGCAAACGGATGAGTGTAATACGTGGCGGCCCCCCTTGGAGGCAAACATGAGCGCCTCGCTCGAGACATCCCCCAAATCTGCTCCGAAAACGGAGGATGTCGACCACCAAACCAGTCAAACAGCTCGAGACATCCCCGCCATTTTGGCGCGAACGGAGGAGTGTCATACCCCCTGGCGGTTCCCCCTTGGAGGCGAAACCGAGCGCCTCGCTCGAGACACCCTCCAAATCTGCTCAGAAAGCGGAGGATGTCGGGCACCAAATTTCCGAGAGAGTATGAGTATGAGTGAGTCTGACTGTGAGCATCTCTGAATAGTATGAGTGCGAAGGAATCCGAGTATGGGCGAATCTAAGTAGGAGGAGACGAAAATGGGAGGAGGCCTGATTGATGAGTCGGCGGCGTCAGAGTATTAACAAGAACCCCATATTAGGAGATGGGGAACAAGAGCCCCATCTTAGGAGATGGGGAATAACAGTAACCCTATCTTAGGAGATGGGCAACAACAACAACGAGAATCCGCATCGCGGAATCCTGCTTCAGCCACGCACCCAGGGACAGTGAATGACCGTTCGGCCCCCTCACTCTTAGAAAGTTCGGGCATCAGGGGGGATAATGAATTTCGCGCCCCGGCAATTCAAAGCTGAAGCAATGAGAACACCATACAGTCGGGGCGCTGAAGAAGGAACCCTCTTCGTTGGGGAGGGGCTCGGTGTTCCTTGATTGTTTCAAAGTTTGCCTCGGGTTTTCCTGAGGTTTCCCATGGGGAATCGAGGTTGAACTTACGGGAAACAGGGGCCTCGTTCCTTATTTAGGGTTCCTTAGGTCAGCGCCTCGACTGTAGCTCTGCCACACGTTCGTGATTTGGGGAAGCTAAACTGGTTGGAGCCCGATGGGCCTGCCACACGCTCGTGACGTGGAGTTGACATGATGGGAATCCCATGGCCCTGGCCTGGGAATGCGGAACTGGCGATTATCCCGTAGCCCTGCCATGCGTTCGTGAGTTGGGAAAGCTGAAACGGTGAGAATCCCATATCGCGGCCACGCGTTCGTGATAGTGCTCCTATTCAATCGCAGAAAATCGCAACTTCGCTTCGTACTTTCCCCGGTGATGATGGAGCTCGGCCTCGCAGGCCCGTTCCCCCGACCGTGTCCGTCTTGCCCCGGGGTAAATCAACCCTCGGGCCGTTAGGGGGGGGGGGTGATGCTTTCCTACCCGAGGCGCTCGGTTAGCCACGCCGTCTCAGGATGGAAGGTGGGAGGACACGGTCGCCGAAGCGTGGGCCGCCACCGCGCGGGGCGCCCCGCGCGCCGTAGAACGCCCCTTCGATCGAGCCGAGACCGACGACGGCGAATCGGAGAGGAGGAGGGGAAAGAGGAGGAGGAGGATGAGGAGGAGGAGGAGGAGGAGGAGGAGGAGGAGGAGGAGGGGGAGGAGGAGGAGGATGGAAGGTGGGAGGACACGAGGGGAGAGATATGCTGCGTCTCGACCACAGCGACGCCGTCCCCGACGTCTGCGGCCTGGGTTCGGGCGGGCCCAGACCTGCGTGTGCAGAGGGCGCGTCGCTTCGACGGCGCCTCCAGAACATCCAGTCGGACGCGAGCGCACCTAGCTTGTCCTCCCCCCTCCTTCCCCTCCCCCTCCCCCCTCCCCCTCCCCCTCCCCTCCTCCCTCCTCCTCCTCCTCCCTCCTCCTCCTCTCCTCCTCCTCCTCCTCCCTCCCCCCTCCTTTCCCCCTCCTTCCCCCTCCTTCCCCCTCCTCCTCCTCCTCCTCCTCCTCCTCGCGGATTCAAATATGTCTGGACGATTCGTTCCAGTCGGACGCAAGCCTCTAACTCGGAGCCCCGAATCATCAGGGGTAGCTCGGGTCAGGGCTAACTCGGGTTCGTTCTTCAGGAATCCGAGCCCGAGTTATTCCGGACCCGAGTCACCCCGGATAGTTCGGGCGTCCAGAGCCCCGAATCATCAGGGGTAACTCGGGTCAGGGCTAGCTCGGGTTCCTCTTTCGGGAATCTGGACCCGAGTTACCCCGGACCCGAGTTACCCCGGATAACTCGGGCGCCCAATCTAACGGGGATGGCAGAATTCGAGATCATGTCGGTAGAGTTGCCACTGTTTCCAGCGCCGAGGGCTGTATAGCGTATGACTTCACCGTGTAGCAGCTTGTGGTGCACGCTCGAGAGCAGCGCCGTTTATGGAAGGGGTGGGCGGTTCGGCTCTCTCTCTCTCTCTCTCTCTCTCTCTCTCTCTCTCTCCTGCGGGATTATTTTTCAGCCGCGTCCTTGTTTTTCGGTCACCCGCAGGGGCGCGAACCGAGTCGTATTTTGGGCTTCGCAGCCTAGGCTGGAGGCCCTCCACGTCAACCGCTCAATGTTTAGCAGTCTGTTTAGTGGTCCCAAGGGAGCGACGTGTGTTGATGTTCCTTTGGTGCCTGATGTCGTCCATGAGTGCCCCAGGACTCCCCAACAGGCCCTCAAGGGGTTGCTCAAGCAGCAGGCGAGCCTTGGATCTGGCGCTCGCGCAGTTGCCTCTGCCAACACAGGCAGCTGCCGCAAATGCGTTGGTCACAATAATGTTGCATTCGCAGACACACGCACGCATTGCAACCAGAAGCCACATCATCCCACGAATGTGATCATGTAGCGAACGAACGAGCCTGTTGACCTGGACTTTCTGAGTCGTCAGTGTGTTTGGAGCAGACATGATCTGCGTTGCTGTATACCAGCGCCCGAGAGGACATACCAGCCCCGCAGACGGCCCAGGGGGTCTCCAACATGTATCCTACATTGCTCCACAGGCCTCATACAGTACAGACATACAGAAATGCATATGCTGTGCCGGGCGTGGCTTGCCCGCAGTAGGGCGAGTCGGCATACAGCCACTTTTCAACGTTGGGTTTCTCCTCTTGCTCAGCGCAATGTGCGGAACCATCGGCGCAGGGCTCACCAGGCAACGCTTTGACGTATTCTCTTACAGTCGAGGCGTTGACCTAAGGAACCCTAAATAAGGAACGAGGCCCCTATTTTCCATAAGTTGAACTTCGATTTCGTATCGAAAGCCTACGGAAAATCCAAGGCAAGATGCGAAACAATTAAGGAACACGGAGCCCCTCCCCAACGAAAAGGGTTCCTTCTTCAGGGCCCCGACTGTAAGCCAGATAACCGGCATCCAGGTCCCCAGGACCCACGGGCAGCCCTCTTTTCCCACATCCTAGCTCCCGTGTAAGGTGTTGTCGGTCGCGGGGGCCCCTTGTTGGGTACCTTTGGGGGTCATTTCGGTTTCAAGAGGCTTCCGACATGGTTCAGGTGGGCGCCCACATGCCGCCAAGACGGCTCAGGGCCCGAAGCGCGCCAAGATGATTTTTGGGAGCGTTTCAGTCGGCCCCAAGATTGTTCTACGGCGCCCAGAGAAATCCCAAGACGGCCCCAGAAATACGGCTTAAGAGAGCCTCTTGAAGGGGCCAAGAAAGCCCCAAGACGGCCCAAGGAAGCGTCGAGACGGCCCAAGACGATTTCAAAAAAGTTACAAGATGCACAAATATGGTCCAAGATATGACAGGAACGCCCCCAGACGTTCCTGGAAGCTCCCCTGAGGCCCCCAAAAGCCCCCCGAAGCCCCCAAGGCGCCCCCCACGAAGCCCCAAGGCAGCCCTCGGGCACTCCTGGCATACCCCAGGAGACCCCTACACTCCACACTGGCCCACTTCAGCTTCACTGTCCACCCACACGAGCATGGGCAGGCAGTCCGAAGGTCCTCCATGTCTGCCCCCCGTCACTCGAGTCTAGCCCCCAAGGGTCCGCGGGCTCGTCCTCATCTTCCCGCCGGGCGAGGAGCATGCACCGAGTGCGCTCTAAGATCGGTCTGGTCCTGGTCCTCCTGTTGCTCGGAGGGCTGGGCGATGCAAGTGGTCCGTGGGCATTCCTCTGTCCCCCGCCTGAGTTTCGCCTGGCCAGCAATCTACGCCCAGCGTCCCCCGATATTGCGACATAGCAGGATGAGTGCACACAGCAGCCGTGCGGGCGCCCTTCTGGTGACTCAATACATCGCGACAGCGCCCTCTGTTGTGTCAGCACTTGGGCGCGCGCGAAGCGCGTGTTTCCAGCGCAGATAAAATAAACAACTGCACGGGCGGATGGCCCGCATCCGTTCTGGCTCAAGGCATTCGCTCAGCCAGCTCGACGAGCTCGGTTTAGCATCTCAAAAAGAAAAGAAGCGCGGGCACACGACCATTGACGGGAATGGTTCCGTTCTGGGCCGTGGTGCTGGCATTCATGCAATTCGAAGGCGTTGGCGCAGCTGCCAAGGTTGCGAGCGCAAGCGCAGGTGCCATGGTCGTCGACCACGACGGGCGCACCATTGGCCGCGCTTCGGCGGGGGCTACGGCGCTCGTGCGGAGGCAGGCGGCTGACGGGCAGCTGCAGCGGAGCCTTTTCGTCCGCGCCAGGTGGGGAGTCGTTGACACCAACTCTTTTGTGGAGAGCGGCAGCGGATCACTGTCAACGCGCCGGGAGTCTGCGCGGACTGCGACCGTCGGGCTCCACGATTTCATTGTCGAGGACGCCTACGGCGAGCCAACGCCGCCCCCTGCCTTTTGGAAACGCCTGTGTGGCCAAACGTTGGGCCGAAGTCTTTCAAAGCTGCTTGACAAAGCGCCTCCGGTCGTTGTTGGAACCCGTGGGGGATCATTTGGGGGAGGCAGCGAGAAAGGAGGAGTAGAGAAAGGAGAAGGATGATGAGGAAGAACAGGAGGCCTCTTGGGGGTTTCTTGGCGCCTCCTAGTGGCTTCCTTGGGACATCTTGGGGCTTCCGAGGAGCCTTTTGAGGGCTTCCTATGGCTTCTTATGGGCCTGTTGGGGGCCCATGGGAGCCTCCTGGGGGCCTCTTGGCCTTCGGACGCTGTCTGGGGGGCTTCTCTGGGCCGTCATGGGGCAAGACTGGGTCGCTTTAGGGTCGTGTTGGAGGCCTTTTGGGCCGTCTTCGGGTCCTTTTGGGGCCATCCTGGAGGCCTCTTGGGCTGCCTTTGTGCCTCCTTGGGACCTCTCGGGGGGCTTCTTGAGCCGTCTTGGAGCCATCTTGGAGGCCTCGAGGGTCGTCTTTACGCGAACATCCTTCAAATATCTTTGCGGGGGGGTCAACTAATGGGCTTCCTGGATCTGTCTTAAGGGCCTCTTGGGCCGCCTCGAGGCCATCTTGGGCCGTCGTCGGTCCATCTTGGCCCGTCTTGGAGGCATCTAGCGGCCACCTTAAGCTCTCGTGGGGTCATTTAGGGCGCCTTGCGTGCGTATTGAGCCACACTGGAAGCAATGTTGAGGCATCGTGGCCGTTTTAGAAGCGATCTAGGAGCCGTCTTGAGCGGAAAAATCCTTGCCTCCCAGTTCGTACTGGTTTTGCTTGTGGGCTAGCGGGATCGGCCGAAACCTTATTGAGAATCATTTGGACGGGCTCAAAAAAAGCATCCATTACGCGAAACACCCTTGTGATAAATCAACAGGGGGCGGCGGATGATGAAAAGCGCGATTAGCGTGCGATCTGTTAGCTGGAAGGAATTGAATTCGGGGGAGTTTGGGGGGTGTAGCATAAGTGTGGGGAAGGATCTAGTGGCCGTAGTAGCGATTTCATTTGAGACATCCGTCAAGCATTGAGATGTCTTGGGGACGCCCAAAAGAGTATGCTTTCGCTGAGGACCTCCTCACGATAGTTAGATATTGTCACATCGCTCTTCCCCAACAACTGCGATTTCGCTCAGGACATGCTCACACAAATGGACTATCGTCGACGTCGTCGTCTTGGTCTCGGTCTTGGCCAGCATGGCGGTTTCGCTCGGGACATCGTCACAAACATTAGACGTTGTCGACATCGCTCTTGCCCAACATGGCGATTTCGCTAGGGACGTCCTCCCAAAAATGACATGTTGTCGACGTCGTCTTGGTCTCAGTCTTGCCCCAATTGGCGATGTCACTAGGGGCATCCTCAAAAAACTAGGCATTGTCGACATGACTCTTGCCCAAAATGGCGGTTTCGCTAGGGACGTCCTCACAAACATGAGATGTCCTCGACGTTGTCTTGAAGTCGCTCCAATACGGCCCGCCAGGCTGGCCAACCGCTGACACCGCTTAAAACGACCAGGCGGGTTTGATTGGCCAGGCGCGTTAAAATGAACAGGCGGGTTCAAACGGCAAGGCGGGTTGAAATGGCCAGGCCGGTTCCAACGGCCAGGCGGATTCAAACGACCAGGCGGGCTGAAACGGCCAGGCGGGTTCAGACGGCCAGGCGGGTTAAGACGGCCGAGGATGTCATCGCGGCCAGGCGGTTGAAACGACCAGGCGGGTTTAAACGGCCAGGCGGGGTAACGCTGACAAGCAGGTTCAAACGACCAGGCGGGTTGAAACGACCAGACGGGTGCCAGCGGTCAGGCGGGCTAAAACGGCCAGGCGGGTAAAATGGCCACGCGGGTCAAAACGGCCAGGCGGGTTCAAAGAGCCAGGGGAGTCAAAGCGGCCAGGCGAGTTCAAGCGGCCAAGCGATTTAGAACGGCCAGGCGTGTCAAAATTCCCAGGGGCTTAAAAATGGCCAGGCGGGTTGCAATTGCCAGGCGGATTGTGAAGGCCTGACGGCCGGTGCCGCCGACCTTGTAAGACATCGACGACGACCAGGAGGGGGAGGAGGAGGAGAAGGAAGAGGAGGAGGAGGAGGAGGAGAAAAAGGACTCCCCCCTGGCCCCCCCCCCCTGGGAGGAGGACCGGAGGAGGACCGGCGTGGGAGAGGGGAGGGGAGGGGGAGGAGGACCCCCAGGGACGGATGCGTATTTGACTCCCCTCCCCCCCTTGGGACTCCTCCCCTCCTGGGGAGGAGGACCCGAGGAGGACTGGCACGCCGGAGAAGGACCTGCGTGGGAGAGGAGAACCCCCAGAGGCGATGCGAATCTGACCCTCCCACCCCCGCCACCCCCCCCGGGACCCCCCTCCCCCCCCGCCGGGGAAGGGACAAAGAGAAGGGGCTTCCCTTTGACGTAATGAGGACGTGGATGGAATTCCCTCAAGCTGCGAACCCGTTCCCCGAACGAGAAACGGTGCTCTCTCTCTCTCTCTCTCTTTCTTTTTTTTTCTCTCTCTCTCTCTCTCTCTCTCTCCCTCTCCCCCGACGGGAGAGGAGGATGGGAAGCAGGGGGCGAAAGAAGGTTCCCCGTCGACGGGACCCGACAGACACGGCCAGGCCAGTCAAAACGGCCTAGGATGTCAGCGCGGTCAGCCGTGTTAAGATAGCCACGCCGATGGAAACAGTCACGCGGTCGTTATGGCCATGTTGGTTGAAGCGGGTATTCGGGTCAAAATGGCAAGGCGGGCTCGAAGGCCCAGGCGGGTTGAAAGGGCCAGGCGGGCTGAAATCGCCAGGCAGATTAGAACGGCAGCGCCATGGACATCCTTGAAGCAAATGGTCAATCTCCGATTCTGCATATTCCAGATGACGTGTCTACTAACATCTTCTTGCCATCTCTCGTGAATTGCCGACGGACGGCTCAAGAGGGCCCGAAGCCAGCCCGAGAGTCTCCCAGGACGCCCCAACAGTGCCCCAAGACTCCCCAAGGATGCGACAAGGGCGAGGGGAAGAGAGGACGTAGGAGGAGGAACGGACAAGCTATCGATCTCGCGCCATCTCATAGGAAGTTGCGCTGTCCGTCCCCATGTCAAGCAGGTCCAGTGGCCTCCGGCCTATCCAGCCACCGCGCCCTGGTGGTAGGTCAGAAGCCTCTTGGATGCCGGCGGCGATCTGCTGGGAGGCCTCTCGGAAGCCGCTGGGGGGCGGTTCGGTGTTGTCTTGGGGCCTCTTGGGGTTTCTTTTGGGGTTCTTGGGTGCCTCCTGTGGCTTCTTGAGGGTCTCTTGGAGGCCTTCTGGCGGTCGTTCTCGGGGGGAATCTTGGGTCGGAGGGCTCAAAATCTTCGCTGGGGTCTCTTGGCACGTCTTGGCACCCTCTTGGGCCGTCTTGAGGCCCTCTGGACGACCTCTTGGGCCGTCTTGGAGCGTCGGGAGCCCGGAAACGCGAGAGCGCTAAATTCTTTCAGAAACCTGGGGAGCATCAATGATCGTGGCCTCTTGGAGCCTTCCACGGGGGGCTGGCGGCATCGTGGGCTGTCTGGAAGCCAGCTTGAGCGCCTTCGAGCGATCTTCGGGCGACTCGGGGCCCTGTTGGATTGTCTCGCTTTGGACACCCAAGAAATCTGGCCAGTTGAGGTCCGGGCCTGGTAGAAGTCAATTATCGAAGACGCTTGCGGCGAATCACCGCCGCCCCCTGCCTTTTGGAATTGCCCATGTGGCCGAGCGGTGTGACAGGAGCTCTGCCAAGCTATCGGACCATGTGTTCCCCCAGCCGTAGTAGAAACCCTTCGGGGAACACTTGCGGGAGGATGGCGGGAAAGATCAGGAGAAGGAGGAGGAGAAGGAGGAGGAGAAGGAGGAGGAGAAGGAGGAGATGGAGGAGGAGGAGGCTGAGGAGGAGGAGGAGGAGGAAGAAGAAGAAGAAGAAGAAGAGGAGGAAGAAGAAGAAGAAGAAGAAGAAGAGCAACGCCGAGAACGGCGGTCCTGCCACACAGGGGGGGGGGAGGGGGGCGGGGGGGGCGAGCCGCTGGCCGCGGCGGCCCCGCTCAGGGACTCCCCGTACAGCGTCAGCAGCTCCCCGAAGCAGATGAGCCGCCGCACGAAGTCCCTCAGAGCCCCGAATCATCAGGGGTAACTCGGGTCAGGGCTAACTCGGGTTTGTTTTTCGGGATTCCGAACCCGATTTACGCTGGACCCGACCTACCACGGATAATTCGGGCGTCCAGAACCCCACATCATCAGGGGTAACTCGGGTCAGGGCTAACTCGGGTTCCTTTTTCGGGAATCCAAACCCGAGTTACCCTGGACCCGAGTTACCCCGGATAACTCGGGCGCCCAAGATGAGCCGCCGCACGAAGTCCCTGTGCCGCAGCTGCGGCTGTCTGCCCACGCTAAGTGCCATCCCACTGCGCCAGATTCTTCGAATCAGCTCAGCGTGGTCTCCGTCGTGCCTGACTTCGACTGTGAGCTCGCAGATGGCTGAGACGCCGAGCTCGTGGTAGTCTGCACCACTGCTTGATACTGGTCGCCGCACTTCACCCGCAAACGGCGGGGTGGCTCTTCCAGTTTGTTTCGCCTGGAAACACCACTTGCGCCACCAGCCGTGTCGACCTCCATGCATTGACCACTTCCAGTTGCATGCTTCGAGGCGGGCCTGCCCCACGCGCTGTTTACCTCGTGGGTGCACCAGGGGGCAGGCTCCAGCAAACATGGCGACTTAGCCCAGCCCCACGCGCTGTTTACCTCTGTGGGTGCCCCTGGGGGCTGGGACTTGCGTTCTAGCGCCTCCATCGTCAGCAGCACGATGGCGCTCAGCAGCGCGATGACCAGCGTCTGCACTCTAGCGACCAATCTGAGTGCCATCCCGCAGCGCCAGATTCCTCGGAATCAACTCAGCCATTGGTCTCCGTGATGCATTGATGGCTAACATCTCGAGCTCGCGACGATTGGCAGGAAGAAGCCG